TCTAGTGTGCGCGATATTGAGAAGACCATCCATATTCCTAAGACCACAGTTGCTCGAATCCTGCATGATGCTGGGAAGACACCTAAGCTCCCCCAAGTGATTCCGCATGACCTCACGACAGCTCAGCTGAAAAAGCGGGTTGACGTTTGTCAGGGATTACTCCACCGTAGATCCAATTTCAATTGGGTCAGCCACATCGTCGCCATGGATGAGAAGTGGATCACCTACGATAATCCTGAGAGGAAACTTCAGTGGGTGGACGTCGATGAGAAACCCCAGCAGGCTCCAAAGGCGGAACTTCACGGAAAGAAGGAACTCCTCTGTTTCTTCTTCTCCGTCCTCGGTCCCATCTACTGGGAGATCCTCCCTCCCGGCATCACCATCAAGGCTGACCTCTTCACTACCCAACTGGAAGAGGTGGCGGTCAGGGTCCCTCCCAAACTCCTGAGCGAGGGCAAAATCCTCATGCTCATGGACAACGCGCGCCCTCATCATGCGAAAATCACCCAGAAGAAAATGGACGAGCTGGAGATGGAATGGCTCCCTCACCCACCTTACTCCCCTGATCTGTCCCCTTGCGACTACCACTGTTTCCGCTCCCTCTCTAACTTCTGTCGAGGAAAGAAGTTCAAGAACCGAGACGCACTTATGAAGGAGTTCGAGGCATGGATCAACTCTAAGCCCCAGGCCCTTTTGGAAGAGAGGGATCGAGACCCTGCCCGATCGATGGAGGCAGGTCGTGACTACTAAGGGAGCATACATTGATTACTGATCATTTGTTGTTGTTGAAGGAATAAACCAAAAAATAAAAATAAATATAAATGTCACAAATATGTGGGACACCCCAATATAAACTATTCACATCTGTGATCGATTCAAGGATAGAAGCCCAACTTTCATCAAATCAATCCAAGGAACAGGCTGGATTCAGAAGGGACTTCACTACAACTGATCATGTATTTACACTTTCTGAGCTAATCAACAAATCGGTGGAATATGATATACCTGTTTACCTGGTGTTTATTGATTTTGCGAAGGCATTTGACTCTGTTGAATTCGGAAAACTTTGGAGCGCATTATACAATCACGGCGTCCACCCCAAGATCATTAATACTCTTCGATACATATATGACAGGAGCCGAGTACATGTGAGAATTGGGAAAGAGAAAGTTCCGATCGAGATAGGAAGAGGTGTGAGGCAGGGTGACCCCATCTCACCCCATCTCTTTAATGCAATCATAGAAGAAGTATTCCGAAAGTTGAACTGGGAGAAATATGGCATAAATATACACGGAGAAAATCTATCGCATTTATGCTACGCAGATGACATTGTTCTTATCTCACACTGTCCGAAAGAAATTGCGAATATGATCAACGAACTATGCTCCGCAAGTAGAGAAGTTGGATTAAGTGTGAATCAAAAGAAGACTGTTATAATGAGCAATACGGACCAAGTTGCCCAATATATCGACGGCAATCCACTTCAATACGTGAATTACTTTATATATTTGGGAGTACGTTTGTCATTTGATCAAAATTGGATGCTTGAACTAAATCGGAGAATCGGAGGAGTATGGAGATCATTCAACAAGTTCCATGATTTTATGACAAGTCGAGGAGTCGCGATGTGCTTGAAAACAAGGGTATTCCGAATGTGCGTTGAACCAAGTTTTATATATGGGAGTGAAGTATGGTGTCTAAGTAAAGCTGAAAGGAAAAGATTAATTGTGACCCAACGATCTATGATGCGGAAAATGATTGGAGTGACTCGGATGGACAAAAGAACCAATGAATGGCTCCATCGAATGGTCCCCGTACAGGACATAAGAGTACGCGCAATGTATCGCAAATGGAACTGGGCTAGACGAGTTGCCAATCTTAACGATGATCGATGGGCCTACCGAATATTGAACTGGACTCCTTTAAACAGTTTGAGGAACCGAGGACGGCCTAGACTGAGATGGCGAGACGAAATAGTGAAGGTTATTGGCAATAATTGGGATTCGATATGTAGAAGACATCCTTATATGTGGAAGAACAGCATGCTATCAACAGGCAACCCACCTGACGCTTGATAAACTGATTGATTGATTGATTGAATAGTCTGTATTCATGTCATACTGTGT